ATTAATATCCTCATCATCGTCATCATCATCACCACCCATCATCATCAACAACAACAACAACAGGCAACAACAACAACAACAACAACAACAACAACAACATCATCATCATCATCATCATCATCATCATCATCATCATCATCGTTCTCCTTCTCCTCCTCCTCCTCCTCCTCCTCCTCCTCCTCCTCAATTTGCCGCTGCTTCTGCTGCTGCTGTTGTTGTTGACACATTTCATCTTTCAGGATCAGTTTCGTCTTGGTCGACCGTGTCAGTGAACACCAGAAGAGGTTTTGAACATGCGGGTCAGTTGAGGCGTGTAAGATTTGTTGACAGGCGAGAAAGCCAAGCTGCTGTTAGCCTCGAGTGTGACCGAGGGTCTCGTTTCTTTCCCTTTGAGCTTCAGGTGACTTGTTTGCGTTGAAAGAAATGATATGCTCTGTCTGTGATGCAATGTAATCGCTGACTTGTTGTATGATTGGAGCTGTTCAATGTTTGACTGTATTTCCATCTCCCGGTGTCTTTGTGGAACCTTACGATGCTGGTTGGGCTGTATTGTGATGCAATTCATGTCTGATTGTCCGGTCTTGTTTCTGAGCTTGCAAACTTGTATGAGAACACATAGGTCGTCTGATGATTGACAGGCGAACTGAGGGTCTGACAAACATCGACGAGATCATAGAACAAGATGGAGGGGATACGAAGATTTTACATGTGATAGACAGCACGGCAAATCAAATCTCATCAATATCGGTGTTCTTGAATGATCCGACAGGGTAAGATGACATGAATTCCCTGAAAGAGTGTTTCTTTCTTCTAAACTGAAAATCTTCTCACACTTGTTTTGCATTTCTTGTGCTTTCAGGGTACAACTTCGCGGTAAGTTTTGGCGGGTGAGTGATCGGCTCTAAGGTTGTAACAGATTACAGCGATGGACCAATCTATGACAGTCTTGGAAGACTGTACTCCAGGTGCTTGTTGTCCTCTACTGTCACTCTTGGTGTTCTGTCTGTCGCTGTTGTTGAATCTATGATGATGATGATGATGATGATGACGATGATGGAGATGATGATGATGATGATGATGATGATGATGATGATGATGATGATGGAGATGATGATGGAGATGATGATGGAGATGATGATGGAGATGATGATGGTGATGGTGATGATGATGATGATGATGGAGATGATGATGATGATGATGATGATGATGATGATGACGATGACGATGATGATGATGATGACGACGATGACTACGACGATGTTCAGCGATGCATGGCTTGTACACTGATGATTGGCCACAGGCTGAAGTGGAAGCAATCAACTACATTTCCTCCGTTTGTGCTCAAAGGAATCTCCAGAACGCAAGTACAAAACATCTCAGGTCCGTTCTTTCTCAACAATCTCTCTCTCTCTCTCATTCTCTCTTCTCTCATTCTCTCTCTCTCTCTCTCTCTCTCTCCTTCTCATCAGCCCCTGTAGATGGATCTCTTCAGTTTCAAATCTTTCGAAACCTCCCCAACACCAACTTGATCTGCGGCCCTCAGTCGTTGGAGGAAGGGACTCAGTGGCAGAGTGAGAGATATGGTAATAATTGCCATGACGATCACGATCGATTTTCTTCTCATGCCATTGTTTTCAGCTTCACTTTGCAACAAGCTTGCTTTCCATGTCGACTCGTCGGGAGAGCATCATGAAGGTATGTGAACTTGTTCGTTTATTCATTGACATGTCTGTTTTAGGGTGTTCAGCGACTATCCTCTCGGATGGATCATTGAAGATGAATACAACATCTTGTAACAACACCAGGATCAACTACAAGTGCGCACATCTCAATCTCAATCTCAATCTCAATCTCAATCTCAATCTCAATCTCAATCTCAATTGCAATCTCAATCTCCATATGTTTTGACTTGTGAATATCAGTGTACATCTCTCCGCATCCAAAGTCCCATCTGGAAGAAACAACATCTCATGTGTTATGAATTCAAGTAACATCACTTCATCTTCGTTCTGACCGATCTTGACATATCTACAACAGACTCTTGCTCTCAGTTCGAGCTTGAGCTCCTTGAAGTCAATCATGCACCTGTCTTTGCCGCACATCCAGTGATGGACGTCAGTCAGTTGTGGACCCAGCAAACTATCAGGTCTCTCCATCGATTTCAAGATTCCAACTGCTCATAACATGTGTTATCATCGTAGTTTTGCAAAGAATGTCTCAGCAGGAAGTTTGTTGGAAGACCGCAAACAGGTCACCTCTGACTTTGTTCTTTCAAGCCTCCATCTCACCACATTTCCTCCATCAGCACCTTTTCTTCGACTTCAACTTCTCCAATCCTGATTTGTTTGCAATCCCGCCAAAACTATCAGTCAAGACAGACTGGTTTGCAAAGTTTTTGCAATCAGACAAATTTTGATCGTTTTCATCTCAACAGTCAGTGGGCGAGCATGTGCGGTGAGATCACGTTTGCGCTGAGAGAAGGCTCTTTCGGCAACTCAACATTCCGAGTTGTCCTGTATGACGATGGTGGATCTTTGTACCTCCGAGACTATCAGATTGGATCTGACAAGTGACAACTTGTTTGCATGTTTGCTTCCTGTCGACCTGATCTCACATGTGCAGATCGAATGTTTCCTTTTTCACCCTTCACATCCCTGTAAGACTTGCTCCAACATTTTGACATGTCTTGATCGAGATCTTCCAGGGAATGGGAAAAGCTCCTCACTTCTCTCTCGTGCAAGAGCCTCTTGTCATCTTTCAAGGCTCCGACCCTGTGGTTGCAAACCATGTCGTCAAAGTAAAACTAGTTCCTCCTCCTCTTCCTTACTCTGTCCTCCTCCTCCTCCTCCTCTTCCTTACTCTGTCCTCCTC